CTTGTGTTCTTGTTTTTCGTGAGCTGTGTGTGTGTTTAGAGTCGTGTGTTAAGTGTCTCGATCCTAACAAAACAATCATGGGGGAAGTACCACAGTGGTTCATAATAGTACCAGTGTCGTTTTCGACTTTCATTAGCATGAAGGAAGTAATCAAAGGTCTTGTATTGTGTCAGATGGGCAGCAGCCCATGACTCTGGTCTAATAGCAGCAGAAGACTTCTTCCACCCACTACTAAGAAAGAAAGCATATTCTCCTATTGTCTTTTCAGGAGACACCCATTTCATTTCACCAATATCCAGTTCCAAAACCTTGTCCTGTGCTGAATCCTCACTTATCAGATAAAGGTTTTCACCAGAACTTACAAGCTCTGGATGTGATATGTCTGGCTTCGTAAAATTCTTGGATTCGAATAACATCCATTTATGTTTCCCATTCAGATTGAGTCTGAGTTCACATACAGAGAGATCGGTATGTAGAGTATATATCTTCCCCTTGAAAGCATAGAAATCACGGATGGGGAGAGTGGAGGAGACATGATTCCATCCTCGTTTACCTTCCATACAAAATGATATTTTCTTATTCAGCACAACAAACACCCACCCTGATACTGAAGGTGAAAAGACGAGGATAGTCCTGATGCTTTCATAAGCACGAACATATAAGGGGTAAAAAGGGAAACGAAGTTCATGTCTTGTGATAGGATTCACAAGCAAGAAGTCGCGAGTTTCCCTACTGAACAAGATCAGGTAACCACAAGTCAATCCAAAACATCTCCTGCCAGTAGAATTGGGAATTATGGTTTTACATGTTTTCTCTTTAAAATCCTTCAGATACCAATACGAGTCTTGATTATCAGCCCCAGACGAAATCGACATGGGAGGTATGGAGGCCATGTATGTATTCCTCTGAGAGACTGCGAATGACCTCCATGACTTGCAGACTCCACTGAATGCAAAGAAATCAACAAATCCCAATTGCATCATTACCAAAAAAAGCACATCATGGTTTAGATCTGACCAAGATGCCACATCACCCTTGTCAAAACTCTTCAACCTCTTCTTGCTAGATGATGATGATGATGATGATGATGATGATGATGATGCATAATTGTCATCATGATTCCGGTTCCCAGTCATATTTCTTGTCTTGGTCATTCCTACTGTTGAAAAAGGAAAACAAATACCACATAACATACAAGAGTTGCAAACAGGGGAGAAACATACACATACTCACATATACACATACAAACATGCGTAACCATTTTCAGAGCACTTCTAGAAGAGAGAAATGGTCTTAACCAAAATGGTACTTAAGAGAATGAAGATCTCCCACATGGTTATATGATGATGGTAGAGCTGAGAGGCATAAAGGTAAGTGGAATAGCCAGAGTAAGATTGATTAATACAAAACATTTGCCCTAATTAGTTCCTAAAATTCTGTTTTATAGTTAGGAAATATAGCCAACTGATTTGGAAAATAGTCTAGATCATAATAGGTTTACATTCCCCTAAACAATAGTGATAAGGAAAGTGTAACACATGAATAAACCAATTAGTGAGTGCTAACTTCTAACCACCCCTAAAAGATAAGAAAAACTAAATAAACTTCCATCTCAATGGTTGTTACCAGCAAGTTACCCTATGGAAACTACTGTTTTCAACATGAGAATCCTTAGTGGCAGAAACAACTACTTGCTATAGAATAATAGATCATAACAGCTTATTTTGCAAAGTAGATGGCACATTTACCAACTGTAAAGTGTAAATAAACACCAGTGTTGATTAACCAAATTAAGCAGATTAGATCACAGTGATTCAATTTCGGAAAAAACTCAAATCTGGTTGATTAGGTCAGACCAAGCTAAGACAAAATAATCAGATTAAGGGGAAAAGATCAAATTCGTAGGCTGAAATCTGTAACAAGTAAATCAGATTTTGTAGCATGAACATCATGGCCTAGAGATTTCAGAAGCCGGGTGCAATTTAGTAAACATAAGCCCTGAAACTAGAGATTTCAAAATTAAAATCACTTGAATCTTAGAGCAAGTAAATCAGGTAGAGAAGATGCGTAGAAGTAGAAGACAAGAACCTTGGAGAGTCGGAGAGTAAAATCAGAATCGGACTTGGTTGCTGCTTAGTGACTTGTTGCCTGCTAGATTCAGGAATGTGGTGATACGAATTCGGATTCGGGGAAACAAGAACATGAGAAAAGAGTGTTGCTAGAGAATCTGGATTCGGGAAGACGAGAACAGGAGAAAAGAATATTGGCTTGATGCAATTTAATCAATGAATCGCCTTCAACAATCAACCATTGATTCATTGATTTTGTTTCATGCCTATCGTCTTCCTTCCACATACAGAAACCGGACTTCAATTTTATGTTCCCGCTTAAACAACTGAACGAGAGTATACGTGATGCGTCATACTAACGAATAAACGAACTTGGGCCCAATTGATGTTAAAAGAAGGGGGGGGGTGTTAAAATCCATGTCATTTATCTAGCAAATATGACAATGTGTGGATAGATACCTATAGTTTATACCATAATAGATCATCATATCATTTGGAGACTTGTGTTTGTTATTTTCAGCCCATTGGGAATGAATGGATATATTCAAGCACATCCATGCATATAATCTCTTGATAACAAAACTGACAACACTACAAAAAATGAAAAGAAAAAGTCGCCTAAAATGTATTTTGACCCGTTATTCGACTCATACAAGATCAAACATACCCCTCTTATATTTTCGGGTTTTTTTTGTTAAAATATGAAGGTAAATGCCTATTTCTTGATTGAGAACTTGTTCATGTTTTGGTGCACCTTAGGGAGTAGGGAGTCGTTCCCTCCCAACCCACCAAACCCAATGAACCCACTGCCACATCAGCTTTTTTCTTTGATTTTTTGTTCATCTTTCGCAACCCACAACACACGGAAATCCTATATTTCTCAACTCACTCAACCCACTCAATTAAAAAAAAAATACAAAATAAGCAAGGTAAAATCTTAATTAGCAATAGAGTTTTCGCCGATACCATTCCCTCTTTAGCCGGTTGTTTAATTGGCTTCACGAACCTACTTCATCATCTCTCTCTACTTTCTCTCTCTCATTTTCTCTTGTACCGTGTGTTTTAAGATTTGTACCTTAGTTGTTTAGTATTTTTTTTATTTGAGTGGGTTGAGTGGGTTGAGAAAGATAGGATTTCCGTGTGTTGTGGGTTGGGAAAGATGAAAAAAAATCAAATAGAAAAGCTGATGTGGCAGTGGGTTCATTGGGTTCGGTGGGTTGGGAGGGAACGACTCCCTCCTCCCTTATAATGGAGAAAATGAGCAAAGATATTTTAATTAATAACCCTATAGCAACCGTGAAAGATACCTTCATTTCAAATTTTCAGTGCCTTGAGGAATGAAAGAAGATTATGTTTGCAAGATGGGATAAATCAAAAACTCAACCACCACTAGCATATTGTTAACTTTTGACCTTAGACATCATAGGTTCATTCATGGTGTAAAGAATCCTTGTTAATAGACCACCACTAGTTTAGATCACAAGAGATGGAATGGAACAAACCAGAACGAGCATCAAACGTATTAGAATTTGAAAGTAGGGTTAATGTCACAGTAATCCCATGAACTATTGATTTAGATCTAATTTGGTTACCAAATCTTATTTTTAGATATATTAGATCCTTAACTTTAAAATGAATAAAACTTTAAAGTAGAAAAAGTATTCAAAAATGCAAATAAACTTGGAAGTCAAATAAAACTTCAACAATATTAACAGGACAACCCAACCCAATCCGACCCGGTTAAACTCAAACTCATTTTGACATGTTATTCAACCCATACAAGGTTATACATACTGGTCATCCTTTCAGGTTCATGGTTAAAATATGAAACAGCATAATTCTTGATTGAGAAGTTGTTCATGTTTTGGTGCATCTTATACCAGAGAAAGTTAGCAAACATGCTTTATTTAACAAGGCAAAAACAAGCTTGTTTTCAGAGGCCAAGTCTCCCCCAAGTGATCTCACACAACAAATTCTGATCCAAGATACAACACCTAACACTATGCTCCTATTTATACTTGTTGTCTAAACGGACCAAACAGACTTTACAAGAAAATGACTATATTGCCCTTACTAACTAACTAAAGACAAGTATCACAACTAAGCCCAGGCCTACTTAGAAGTGTAACACAAGCATGAAAGGGTACCTAGTACTAACAAGTCATCACTCATCTAAGATATTAACATTCCCACACTCATGGGGGAAGTACCACATCCATTCATAATAATAGAACATGTCATGATGTCGTTGAGTTTCATTAGCATGAAGGAAGTAATCATAGGTCTTGTATTGTGTTGGATGGCCAGCCCATGACTCTGGTTTAATAGCAGCAGAAGACTTCTTCCACCCACTACTAAGAAAGAAAGCATATTCTCCTATTGTCTTTTCAGGAGACACCCATTTGATTTCACCAATATCTAGTTCTAAAACCTTGTCCTGTGCTGAATACTCACATATCAGATAAAGGTTTTCACCAGAACTTACAAGCTCTGGACGTGATAAGTCCCGCTTCACAAAATTCTTGGATTTGAAAAACATCCATTTACGCTTCCCATTCAGATTGAGTCTGAGTTCAGATACAGAGAAATCGGTGTGAAGGGTATATATCTTCCCCTTGAAATATTGTAAACCAATGATGGGGACACTGGAGGAGACATGATTCCATCCTCGTTTACCTTCCATACAAAATGATATTTTCTTATTCAGCACAACAAACACCCACCCCGATACTGAAGGTGAAAAGACAAGGATACCCCTGATTCTTTCATAAGCACGAACATATAAGGGGTAAAAAGGGAAACGAAGTTCACGTCTTGTGATAGGATTCACAAGCAAGAAGTCGCGAGTTTCCCTACTGAACAAGATCAGGTAACCACAAGTCAATCCATAACAGATCCTTCCAGCAGAGTTGGGAATTATGGTTTTACATGTTTTCTCTTTAAAATCCTTCAGATACCAATACGAGTCTTGATTATCAGCCCCAGACGAAATCGACATGGGAGGTATGGAGGCCATGTATGTATTCCTCTGAGAGACTGCAAATGACCTCCATGACTTGCAGACTCCACTGAATGCAAAGAAATCAACAAATCCCAATTGCATCATTACCAAAAAAAGCACATCATGGTATAGATCTGACCAAGATGCCACATCACCCTTGTCAAAACTCTTCAACCTCTTCTTGCTAGATGATGATGATGATGATGATGATGATGATGATGCATCATTGTCATCATGATTCCGGTTCCCAGTCATATTTCTTGTCTTGGTCATTCCTACTGTTGAAAAAGGAAAACAAATACCACATAACATACAAGAGTTGCAAACAGGGGAGAAACATCCACATCCACATACACATACACATACACATACAAATATACGCTACCCTTCTCAAAGAACTTCTAGAAGAGAGGAATGGTCTTAACCAAAATGGTACTTAAGAGAATGAAGATCTCCCACATGGTTAAATGATGATGATAGAGCTGACAGGCATAAAGGTAAGTGGAATAGCCAGAGTAAGATTGATTAATACAAAACATTTGCCCTAATTAGTTCCTAAAATTCTGTTTGTAGTTAGGAAATATAGCCAACTGATTTGGAAAATAGTCTACATCATAATAGGTTTACATTCCCCTAAACAATAGTGATAAGGAAAGTGTAACACATGAATAAACCAATTAATGAGTGCTAACTTCTAACCACCCCTAAAAGATAAGAAAAACTAAATAAACTTCCATCTCAATGGTTGTTACCAGCAAGTTACCCTATGGAAACTACAGTTTTAACCATGAGAATCCTTAGTGGCACCTTAATGGCAGAAACAACTACTTGCTATAGAACTATAGATAATAACAGCTTACTTTGCAATGTAGATTGCACATTTACTAACTGTAAAGTGTAAATAAACACCAGTGTTAATTAACCAGATTAAGCTGATTAGATCACAGATTCACAGTGATTCAATTTCGGAAAAAACTCAAATCTGGTTGATTAGGTCAGACCAAACTAAGATAAATTAATCAGATCAAGGGGAAAAGATCAAATTCGTAGGCTGAAATCTGTAACA